CCAGGGGTAGAAAACCTGTGGCCTCAAAGCCACATGTGGCTCTCTGGGTCCTCAGGTGTAGCCCTTTGACTGAATCCAAACTTCACAAAACAAATCTCCTTAGAATTTGTTCCGTAAAACTTGGACTCAATCAAAAGGCTACATCTAAGGACCTAGGGGACCACATGTGGCCTCAAGCCTGCAGGTTCCCTACCCTTGGCACCTACTCTATTGGCTAATTTATTTCGGTACTCATCTTTTTTGAACTCCTCTCCTGCAGTTGATATTGTTGATTATCTTTTCCTTTTAGATACACTCTCCTTTCTGGGTTTTTATGATGTTTCTCTCTCCTGGTTCTCTTCCTACCTGTTTCCGGTTGTTCCTTGTCAAACTCCTTTGCTGGTTCTCCACTCATGTTATGCTCACTAACTGTGGCTCTACCTCTGTTCTGTCCTTAATCCTTTTCTCTTTTCCCTCTCATTTGGTTATCTCATCAACTCCTATAGGTTCCCACATATCTTGCCCTAACCTCTCTCTTAAATTCCAGTTTGAAGTCATGAACTTTCTGTTGAACACTTCACACTGACTGTCCCATAGGCATCTCAAATGCAACTATCTAAAATAGAACTCATTATTTTCTTCCCTTAAACCTTCCTTTTTTATAATTAAATTTTATTTATTTCAATCAATTAAAATCTGCCTTTTCTCCCTCCTTGAGAAGGAAAGAACTTAACCTCTGTTACAAACATGTATAGTAAAACAAATCAAATTCCCACACTGATCATGCCCAAACAGTTCTCAATCTGACTCAGAGTCTATCACCCCTCTTTCAAGAAGTGGGTAATATGTTTCATCATGAGTCCTCTGGAATTATGGTTGGTCATCACGTTGATCAGAGAAACTCTCCCCTCTTCCAAATGTCCCATTACTGTTGAGGGTCACATCATACTTTTAGATACCCAAGGTTCACAACCTTGGCAACATCCTTGATTCCCCACTCTTTCTCATCCCACATATTCAATCACTTGCCAAAATATAATCATTTATATCTCTACCACATCTCTTGCATATGTACCCTTCTCTCTCCTCACACAGGTACCACTCTACTTCATCACCTCCTGCACAGACTATTGCAATAGCATCCTATTTGGTTTCCCTACTTTGTCTTTCCCTCCTCTAATCCATCTTCCACACTACAACTAAAGCCATCTTCCTAAAGTTCTGATCTAATCATGTCACTCCCCTGCTCAATAAATTCCTGTGACTTCCTGGATCATATTTAAACATCTCACTTTGACATCTAAAGCCTTTAACAACCTGACCCATTCCTACCTTTCCAGTCTTTTTCCAGCTACTGTATATCTGTACATTTTATTTCTGTTATAATGTAAGTTCCTCTGTGGACAGTAACTGTTTTCAAGTTTTGTCTTTGTATCTCTAGCACTTAATACATTGTCTGTTGCATCTTATGGGTTTAATAAATACTTGTTGATTAATTAATTGATTGAAATGGGTTTTAAAGATGGGATAGGGAGAGTCTTTGCCTAAATAAAAAACAAAGAGTCATTTATCCTTAAAAGAACAAAAAAAGTAAGTGGAGGTAGAACAAAGATGGTGTTGTACAGGGAGCAGTTGGTTCAAAGACAGAATAACATACACACTTAGTTGGGTATAGAAATTCATCTCACCCAACAGGGAAATAGGAGGTAAAGGGGATAAAAGAATAGGATGGGAGTGATAGAAGGGAGGGTAAATTAAGGGAGGTCAGAAGCAAAACAGACTTTTGAGGAAGAACGGGTAAAAAGAGAAAGAGAAAGACAGAACAGGGGGTGGAGAATGTTACATGGGGAAATAAGATAGAGGGAACTACATAGTAATCATAACTGCAAATGTGAATGGGTTGAATTCAACCATAACATGGCAGTGTATAGCAGAATGGATTACAAACCAGAATGCAACAATACCTGCTTTACAGGAAACACACTTGAGACAGAGAGACACACACAGAGTAAAAATAAGGGGCTGAAGCAGAATCAACTATGCTTCAGCTGAGTCAAAAAGGCCAGGGGTAAGGGAGCACCTGGGTGGCGCAGTGGATAGAGCACTGGCCTTGAAGTCAGGAGGACCTGAGCTCAAATCCAGCCTCAGACCAAACACTTGACACTTACTAGCTGTGTGACCCTGGGCAAGTCACTTAACCCCAATTGCCTAAAAAAAAAAAAAGGCAGGGGTAGCAATCATAAACTCAGACAAAGAAAAAAAAAAACAAAAATAGACCTAATTAAAAGAGATAAACATGGAAACTACATTTTGCTACAAGGTACTATAGCAATGAAGTAATATCAATAACAAACATATATGCACCAAATGGCATAGTATCCTATCTTAAAGGAAAAGCTAAATGAGTTACAGAAGGAAATAGTAAAACTATACTAGTGGGGGATCTCAACTTTCCTCTCTCAGTATTAATTAAATCTAAACAAAAATTTAAAAAGAAGTTAAGTAGATGGAATAGAATTTTAGAAAAGTCAGACATGATAGATTTTTTGGAGAAAATTGAATAGAAATAGAAAGAACGCCTTTTTCTCAGCTGCATGTGACACTTTCACAAAAATTGACTATGTATTAGGGCTTTAAAACCTCACAAACAAATGCAGAAAAGCAGAAATATTAAATGTATCCTTTTCAGATCATAATGCAATAAAAATTAAATTCAATAAAAGGCCTTTGAATTCTAGATTAAAAATTAATTGAAAACTAAATAACATAATCCTAAAGAATGAGTGGGTCAAAGAACAAATCACAGAAACAATAATTTCATTAAAGAGAATGATACTGAGCCAACACACCAAATTTTGTGGGATGCAGCCAAAGCAGTACTTAGGGAAGATTTTATATTTCTAAATACTTACATAAATAAAAAAAGAGAAAGAGCAAATCAATGAATTGGGCATGCAATTTTAAAGAAATAGAAAAATCCCTAATTAAATAGCAAATAGGAAGTCCTAAAAGTTAAAAAAAAATTAAGTAAAAAAATATTGAACTAATAAATAAAATTAGGAGCTGGCTTTATGAAAAAAAAAACAAAATGGAAAAGGATTGAAATTGCAGGTGACCCAGTGCACACAGGATACAGGCATGATTAATGCATGTGAAATGCCATTTATTACCAATAAGGACTTGTAGAACAGGTTTCATCAGAGATGCTGAGCAGAAAAGGAAAAAGATTAGCTGTTCAAGAAGAATGAAAGATAAGACATGGATAGCCAAGGCTATGCAGTTATACACAAAATAATTAAAGCCTCCATTAGATAGCCTATATACTCTATGGAAAATACACAGAAGGACATGGGCAAGAGTCATTTTGGATGAGAGGGCCTTGATAAGGTGTAATGTGATCTGATGGACAGAGTACCCACCTCAGTGAGATCACAGATCCATCAAAGTAACCTCATAAAATCACACAAGCACAGATTTGGAGCTGTAAGGGATCCTCAGCACTTAGCACAAGGCAAAGCACATAGTAAGTGTTTGTTGATAAATGCTTGTTTATTGAAATAGGTTTGGAAAGGAGCTTAGAGTTATGCTAGGAAGGCCCTTCAATCCAATCCTCTCATTTGGCAGATGAGAAAACCGAGGCACAGGAAGGCTAAGGACTTGCCCAGGTTCACACAGTTAGTATCTGATGTAGGATTTGAGTCCAAGTTTTCCTGACTCCAATTCAGTGCTCACTGGTTTCTTATCTATTTTTCTTCTTCAAATATGTCTGTATGCAAAACACACACGCACAGAGAGAGAGAGAGAGAGAGAGAGAGAGAGAGAGAGAGAGAGAGAGAGAGAAGATGTGAGGAGATAATAATTTGCAAATCTTCAATGGAGACCTAATGAAAGGTACCTTTCAGTCCAACATCCCCAGTTCAAGAATTTGAGTAAATGTTTAAGAGTTCTAAATAACCTATTATGATTTAGGCTGAAATGATGTGGTTTCTGAGCTAACAGCAAATCAGCTTATCTGATCTAATGCCTTAAGATGTTTCAAAACGGTTACCCCATCTCACAGTGATTCTTGCAACCTGGGAATCATGAAACAAGATCATACTTTTAAACCTTGCCATGTTTGGAAACACATAAGCTACAAAAGAGGGCCATATCAAACCTTCACGGCATTCTTCATGCCTTTGACTCCTCAATTGTTGGGAAAGAATCACCTACATGCTTACTGAACAATACAATGCTCAGCCCAGGCCAACACTAAGCAAATGGAAAGACCTTGGGTCGGGAATATGGACAGTATACAAGTGTGCCCTGCCTCTTTAGCAAACTTGCCACAAAACATCCAGATTTAGGGAATATGAATCAGAGAGAAACTTACTTGGTTTACAGGAGGCTTCACTATGGCTTTCCTTTACATATAAAGCTACAAGAGACCCTAAAATTTAATCCAATTTATACACAAAAGCACTCCTGCTACAGGAGGCATACTTATATCCATAATTTCTAAGAAGGAAAGGGAGGGAAAGAGAAAGAAAAGAAAAAGGAGAAAGGAGAAGAGGCACTATGAATGTAGGAACTTTTCCTGTTTTCTTTTGTCTTTCAATTCCCTGTCCCAAACACAACACCATGCAAGTAGTAGGTGCTCAAAAATGCTTAATGAATTGAATTCACCTTGCAAGTCTTCAAAAGGAATGCAGATTACAGCATAGGATATTTCTGTTTCCCCCCTAACCACATGTCCCCCTTCTCTCCTCTCTCTTCCAATCCCTTAATAACCAGCATGCCCTCAGAGAAGACATACTAATTTTTAAATATAAATATAAATTTTAAATATAAATTTGAGCCAAACAACTATACCTCAGCCTTAAAAAATCAAATATATTGTATTCCCTAGGTGAACAGAAGTAGTTCTTGGATTTATCTGCTATTCTATATATGCATATATAGAAAAGCTTGCTTTCATTAGGATGGTTGAGAGAAAACTATTTTGGGGAGTGGTTTTAAAGTAAACTGAATATTCCACTTACCTTTAACATATGAATCCCATTGCTTTCTATATTCTAAGTCCATATAGACATCTGCGCAGAGGGTTGGAGGGCAATCCTTGAAATCACCAAAAGCTTTATATTCATAAAGTCCAGTTTGCTGTTAAAAAAAATATGACTAAAAACAAGGATTTTATAGGCTATAGTTCCTCTTTTTTTTTTTTGCAAGGGAGTCAATCAGGGTTAAGTGATTTGCCCAGAGCCACACAGCTATTAAGTTAAAGTTAAAGAGTGCACTATACTTATTTTCCGTCAGGTTTCCAAACAACATGAAAAATAAGAAATGATTTTAAAATTTCACTTAAGACATACATAGATCAAAATTTGCATCCTGATAGCTGGCATCAGGCTCCATTATCCTAGGCATGAACTGTTCAAAAGCCCTAAAACTTGAGGATGGGCTCTTTGGAGAATACTAGGGAATCCTATGTATTTTTCCATTCATAGCAAGTAGAAAATGAACTCTGAGGGCAGGGATGATTTTTCATCTTCATCTTTGTATTCCCAGCAGCCTAACAAGGTATCTTTCACTTCATAATCATGTCCTGAGACTCAATTTCTTCATCTGCAAAATAGAGGTAATACACTACCTACTTAACAAGGTTGTTTTCAGGCTCAAATTAGACAGTGCTTTTCCTTTTGTTCAGTAATTTTTCAGTAGCGTACAACTCTTCATGACCTTATTTGGGGTTTTCTTGGCAAAGATATTGGAATGGTTTGCCATTTCCTTCTCCAGCCCATTTTACAGATAAGGAGAGTGAGGCAAACAGTGTTAAATGACTTGTCCAGAGTCATAAAGCCACAGCATATGTCAATAGTGGGACTTGAACTTGAGTTTTTTTTTAATTAGACCACTGTACCTTCCAATTAAAAAAAAAAGTCTCCATTTACTTCTCCCATCTTCATGCACAATGGGACCTGTCACAAATGTAACATAGAGGACCTGAGTTCAAATTTGGCCTCAGACTCTTATTAGTTCTGTGATCCTGAGCAAGTCACTTAACCCCAACTGCCTCCACAAAAAAAAAAAATTATTTGAGGTGAAGTGAAATACCTTTATCCTGTCTAAACTACTAAAAGACATTTATAATGATGACTTAGCAATTATTTAGAGAAATTACATTGCTAGATTTATACAATATAGTCCTAAAAGGGAGCTAATTTGGGAAAAGTTGACACTTTCTTATTAATGTAATCTGGTTTGAGATTTTGGCATTCACAGCTTCTCCCCTTACAAATAATCCTCTGTAGCTCTCAGAAAAAAGAAAATCACTGCTGATTTCCTTCCATTTCAATGGTTTATCTACATTTATGTTAGTGGTGAATCACACTTCTCTATCCCTACTAATAGTCCAGGAAACCTTAATTGAATTTCCTTTGTCTCAGAACAACTCATTTCTATTCCACTAGCAGAACAAGGGTCATCTTCATTATTCTCTTCTGGAGCTTTTCCAAGTTTCTAGAGACTTGGACAAGTAAAAGATACATAGAACAGAAAGCTAAGTGTCTCTGGGCTGAAAAGAAGCTGCTCTAATTAAGGACCTTAAACCAGTTCCTGCCATAGAGCAGTGGGTCCCAAACTTCAAAGTCTAGTTAAACCCAATTCAATACTTAGGATCTACAAATACCTTTACGCTTGTTCTGTCTCTACAGTGTCAGCCAAAAAGGATCTTCTACCACAGTATTCCCACCCCCCACAGCCCTTCTACAACCATAGCCACAATTTTAAAAAATACATGGCAAAGATCTGGAAATTGCAGGGATGCCCAACAATTGGGGAATAGCTGAACAAGTTGTAGTATATGATTGTGATGGAATTCTATAGTGCTATAAGAAATGATGAGCTTGATGATCTTCGAAAAACATGGAAAGACTTGTATGAAATAATGAAGAATAAAATGAAAAGAGAACATTGTATATAGTAAAAACAATATTGTTTTAAGAATGACTTTGAGTGGGGGCAGCTAGGTGGTGCAGTGGATAGAGCACCGGCCCTGAAGTCAGGAGGACCTGAGTTCAAATCTGACCTCAGACCAAACACTTGACACTTACTAGCTGTGTGACCCTGGGTAAGTCACTTAACCCCAACTGCCTTAAAAATAAAACAAAACAAAAAAGAATGACTTTGAGTGAATAAGTCATTTTGACTATTATAAATACCCAAATCAACTATAAAGGACATATGAAGAAAAACACTATCTGGATCCAGAGGAAAAAAACTGATAAATAGAAATATGTATAGAATAATTATGTGTCAGCATCTATTTGTGTCCATCTCTGGGGAGGGAGGAGAAAAAAAGGAAAAATTTACATGATTATTATATATTTAAAAGAAATAGCAAGTTGTGCAGAATAGATTTGCAGTTTCATATGCAATCAGATTTTTATTATATTATGCTATGGAAATTCTTGTTTTATTCCATAAATTGAAAAATAAAAAAATAAAATAAAACCATGGATCAGGGCATCCAGCAACTTATAATTGTGAAAGGGCCATGCATGGTACTAGGTGTTCGGGAAAGTAAAGGGGTGTGTGTGTGTGTGTGTGTGTGTGTGTGTGTGTGTGTGTGTGTGTAAAATTATCGTATATATACTTCTATTTATCAGTTCTTTCTCTGGATACAGATAGCATCTTTCTTCATATGCCCTTCATAGTTAATTTGTGTATTTATAATAGTTAAAATAACTTATTTGCTCAAAGTCGTTCTTAAAATAACATTGCTGATACCATATACAATGTTCTTTTGGATCAGCTCATTGCACTTTTCATTATTTCCTGTAAGTCTTCCCATATTTTTCTAAGATCACTGAACTCACCATTCCTATAGCACAGTAGTATTCTATTACAATCACATAACCACAACTTGTTCAACCATTCTCCAATTCAAGGGCATCCCTTCAATTTCCAATTCTTTGCCACCACAAAAGTATAAATATAAATATTTTTGTACATATAGGACCTTTTTCCTTTTCTTTGATCTCTTTGGCATACGGTTTTAATAGTAGTATTGCCTGGGTCAAAGGGTATGCACAGTTTTGTAGCCCTTTGGGTATAGTTCCAAATTGCTCTCCAAAATGGTTGCATCAATTCACAATTCCACCAAGAGTGCATCAGTGTCCCAATTTTTCCACATGCCCTCCAACATTTGTCATTTTCCTTTTCTGTCATATTAGCCAATCTGATAGGTTTGAGGTGGTACCTCAGAGAACAACAAAAATAAAACACAAACACAGTCACATCTCACAGGGTTGTTCTGAGGATTAATTAAAGTGTCTGGCAAACTCTAATGAACTCTATAAATTCTAAATTGTTATCTAAATGGCCAGGAAAATATTTACAGAGACTTTCCTTTCCTTAAACTAATCCATTCTCATTTGGGCCATTTCTGTGAAGAGAGAGGAAAAAAATTTCTCTTGATGCAATGGTTGCCATTGACTGGAAGGACTGAACAATCCAAGCCTGGAATCAGCAGTAAGGTGATTGGTTGGCCAAGAACACCCCAATCCCATCCCCACTGTTCCCACTTGCTCACCTCTACCACCAATTCCAGCTTGTTTTATGAGAACTGATCTCTATCCTGCTATGTCTGAATGACAATTCTTCCAAACCGTATAAATCACTGGGAAATGCATCAGCAAAGTGACCAACCCCCCCCAACACAAACACACACACACACACACACACACATAAAACAGACAATCCTGATAAGTGGTCATTAAGGTCTTGCTTTGTTTCCCATGGGACAGAAATCTTCCCCACCCACCCCACTTTATCCCAATGTCATCATTACCAGGAACCTGAGTGATCAAGCTGTCTTTTTAATTTATTTATTCCTCTCAGGAAAGAAAATCTTGGAGGAAATGGAACCTCTCCAGATAAGAGCAATAGTGGGAAGGAAAATGACTTACTCTGAGAACTCAAGACTGTTTATCATTATTCAGGCTAATGAAAGGGCCAGTGATGTGAATAATGGAAGAACAATGAATAATCTACAAATCATTTCTAGTAGTTGTTAGAATGCATTATATCACAGGGTAGGGGCAAGTTGATCTTTATTAAAAGCTGTATATATTTCCTACTTAAATTAATGCTCATTGAGAAGCATTGTGGCCTAATGTATAGAGAGCTGGCCTAGAAGCCGTGGAATACAGGGCCTCAAAATCTGTTTCTGACAAGTATTGGCTTAGTAACCCTGGGCAAGTCACAACTTCTATGTTCTATAAAACTCTCTAAAGCTGTCAGTCACAGGAAAGGTACACTGGTCAGGGGAAATTCTGTACCTGGGAATTCTCTATACAATGAAATCCAAGGTTTAGCCTCTAACCCTGTACTTATCCCTGAGAACTAAAAAGGCAAGGGAGCCCAGAAAAATACTGGGTAGTAGGGAAGAAAGAAGCCAGGCTGAGCTTAAACACATCTATTAAGTGGCTAACCCATGTTGAGAAAACTAAGGGCTGTCGAATGCCAGATATGTCATAGCTAAATGATGAACAGAAAGATAGTTTTACCTGGCAAAAGAGCAAACTACAGCTTTTCACAACTTTTTCTACTCTGGGCTCTGCTGCCCCCAAATTCATCTTTGCAAGAGCCTCATTATTTGAATTACTGACAAAATAGCCCACACAAAGGCAAAAGGTTTTCTTCCTGAATATTTTCCTTCTCAGTGGCCTTGAATTTTTAGGCCAACTACATGGGAGAGATAGAAGGAGTCCCTGGGAAAATGTTGTTTTCTCCCCTCATGTCTTGGATTAAAGTAATAAAAGAAGGATAGAAATAGGATTTAGCCAGTGTCTGCGTGATACCAGACATCTGGATTTTTCAAAAACAAAAAAATCCAAACTTTATTCCATATTTCATAAAAGACAGCATCCAATATTTTCTAAATAGAAAAGGCAAATTACTGGATTGAATTTTTAACTTTTCATGGAAATAACTCATAATATTAATACAGCCCAAAGCCATAGTCAAGGTTTTTGCTGCAGCTCTTTATTCTAATTCATCCTTTTTCTTCTCTGCCAGGGAAAATCATCACCTCAACTCATCTGAGGAGGGCTGACCCTGAAATAACAATTAATTGAGAGAATTAGGGAGCTGGACTT